TTCCTAATGAGCCATTGACTAAACCAGCTTCTGTCCATATATTTGCAGTCAACATAACTCGTGCACCTCTTGCCAGTAACAGCTGCGCTTCAAGACCATGTGCTGTATCCGAGTCTGCTCTTTTTGCTTCAACACCACCGGTATGTTTAGCATTAATTTTGGCAACAGGGACGTTTAACGATCTAAGCTTATCTATATTTACAGCATTTACATCAGACCATCTTGGCAGGATGAATGTAGTATCTGAAAACTGATCACGTTCAGCCCTTGTTAATTTTTCCTCGAATCGTGTGTTAAGTATCCTCCAGTCATCTACTGTCGACTCTCCATCACGTATCCGTAAAAGAACGTCCCTGAAAGCCCGTTGTTCCTCAGAATCACCGGATTGCCACTGAACTATATCAAGCTTGTATACCTCTAGAAATTGTTTGTATACTGCATGTCCATTATTAGACAATGCGTCTTTCTTAACGTCAATATACATTGGGAGATCAAGTACAGGTGGAAGCTGACCAAAATCACCAACCATAATAACTGATCTGCCACCAAAGAGTTCGTTTGTTTGCTCTGGAAAGGCTTGACATAGCCTCATGTCAATTAAAGCGAGCAATCGATGCCCAACCATACTTTTCTCATCTATAATTAAGTATTTCACACTTCGTAACCTTTCCTGTAATTGTTTCAATCGCTCACTGTCTATATCTAAATTATTAGTAGAATTTATTGCGATTGAAAGTGCAGAGTGAATCGTTCTACCATTAATATTGAAGGCTGCAACACCCGTCGGTGCAAGTACGAGTACTGGTGACATAGACTCAATTCCTGTCATCTGCATAAGTAAGCCTCGAATTGCTTTTATCAAATATGACTTTCCTGTCCCTGCAGTTCCCATTATAATTACTCTTAGTGGTTCAACTTGACAACCTGCCAGGACGCTATAGAAATGTGATTCTACATGTTTAAATACTGCCATTTGTTTTTCATTTAAGGTCTGATAATCCACAATAACAGAATTTAAATTCGCATCATTTATTTGATTATTACTAGAAGCTTGGCTTATGAAATGGTCAATATTTGCAAGATCAGTATCACAATAGCGTTGTCTAGCATCATCAACCCATCTATGATTCCGATCCATATCACGGGTCCCCAAGTCGCAAGAACTATCTATGACTGCATTTGGACCCATCTCTGCCAGCAACATCCAGTCATGTCGACATTCTTCCTGTTCGTCATCTTCAATTTCCTCCACCTCATCTTCATTATCGGTAGTTTCATCTTCATTATCTACTGCCGGTCCAAGTATGTCATTTCCATCCGCGTTAATTTCTTCATAATAACGAGTAAATAAGATTGACCACTCAACGGTGCCGTTTTCAGTTAGTTGCTCAATATTTCTATGCCGAACGTGAAGAAGAACTTTTACTCGACAAAATTCCACCCATTGTGAACCATTACGTAAGGGTGACGGCCGTGGAAAGATGCGCACAATATTTTCTTGTTTACATTTATTCCACCGATTTTGAGTAAATTTATGTGTTAAATTAAGCCGGAATAATGAGAAATTCTCAAATTCTGTAGGCCGTTCCCAGTAAATTTTTAAAGGCGATTTTACTGTCCTTCCAACATCTTTAATTCGAACATTCGCCTCATTTTCACTGCTACCAGTACCACGAAGCCATCGTGGTGCTTCTTTATTTAGGTTTAAAGAAACAAAGGAGCGACTTGAGTGGTAAAGAGGAATCTCTAGAAGTAGATGGCAGGTCTCCTGAGCAGAAATGTCATGTTCAGCAACACTACGAAGTAATAATCTCTGAACTGATGATATTACTTGATCATCAGGGTTGCTATTTCGAAGGATCTGATTTAATATTTCAGAGAATGTT